ATATATATGGTTCCCAATAATTGCCGTGTGGCAATTACTTACTTTCTTCGCTGAACAGACGGCTGAACAGTTGTCAAGATCAGGAGGCGTTGGAAGCGCCGAAAGGATCGGAATGGTGCTCGCAAGTTGGTGAACAGACGGCTGAACAGTTGTCAAGATCAGGAGGCGTTGGAAGCGCCGAAAGGATCGGAATGGTGCTACTTCGCAAGTTGCGGTGGGATGGTTGTGTGACGGCGAACCAATTCGGAGACTTTGTCAGATGTATCGCATAGTTCAAGAAATAGTGAGATACAGGCTCAGATATCCAGAGAAACTGCAGGAACTGCGAGAAAAGACCTTCAAATGGTTTGTCTAACCCGAATAAGAACTAAAACAGTCCCATATAGCTGAAAGTTTCTCTAAGAATCCCAATAGAACGTTCATTTAATGATTCTTACGTTCGTGAAATTTGTAAACTGGGAGTGGTTCTCGTAGACCCATAAATCTGTTTTATTTTGGTTTCTTTTGGGGCCGAGCCTCTACTTGAATAATACTCAGATTAAAAGTAGCTTATGTATATCACAATATATATATATATATATAGTGGAGAAATTGAAATACAAATACGCCACGTTGTGTTAGCGGTCTATCTGTAGGAAGTAATCACATACATGGTTTTAGCCTCGTGTAATTGCGCCTAACGCATTCATCGGAGCGTTGGACTCATGTCAACTTCACAGTGTTCGCCAATACTGATTGTCAGGCGTCTGATGGTAACTCACCTTAGGTAGGACAAACTTCATAACCTCCAAGTGGTCAGAACCCGTTCTAACCAGACTTTCAACTCATTGAAAAGGTGCTCCTTCAAAATCGGCTGAAGAGTTACTCTGGTTTATTATCTACGTGATTATGGAATTATTTTTCCTGATCCTTTTGACTTGGTGATACAATAATCCTATCACACTAGAAGCTCAATTCGGATTAGTTTTAACCTATAAAGCAGCATATAATCTCTTATAAGGCCAGAAATTTCGCCTGTGTTTGGTACAATCAGTCGACTGTCTACACATTGGTTTGTTACTTGTGTGAACTTCCGAATGAAGGCCCACAAACTGAGTTTTTCGTCCGGAATTTAATGTATCCCAGTCTTCCGCATCATACTTCAACAACAAGAACAACGCATTTCCTAAACTTGTTTCGGAAATAAGATCACACGATGTATCATACTGATCGATATTTACAAATCGTCATTAGTTCACTGTACCAATCCAGCCCTGTGTGGATGACCTTGAGACAACCGACCACACGATTGCGTCTGCCACACGCCCGATGCACGTTATAAATGGTTCAAATTCAAAAACGTGCTTAGGTTTTCACCCATAGGGTTGACCATCACACAGATAGAGGAAGACTGATGAACAACTGAAAAAAATACGGGTGAGGATATCTGCAATGGGTTCATATGTTTCGTAAACTAACGTTTCTATTCTCTCAGATGTCAGAATGTTTGTTTCACCTGGATTCCTTCGACAGTACTAAACCACGTTGGTGGAGATCATTCATCCGAGTGGAAGGAAAAAGCTTGAAGTAGGTTACCCCAGAAACGTAACACTGTGAGAAATCACTCTTCATTTCATTGATTCCTCTAGCGACCTACCCGTAAACTACAGATGCGAATGGAAAGCTGATATCCACTGAGAAGTTGATGAAATGTCTAGTTAATTTAGATTCTTGTTGTCTGGTGGTGGTGTGGCCTGTTCCACATGCAGCACTACTTGATTAGCCTGCTTCTTTTCTGTATCGCTTCACCAAATAGTGCATTTGGAAGGATGTCATAGGTACGCAAATACGTTCCAGTACTTTGTATATATGTAACACTGAACAGGATCAGGCTAAGTTAGAGCGCGAATTTACTGACCGGAAGGTCTGTGGTTCGAACCCGGCCTCTACATCTCGACTTCCCCTGTCTAGGCTCGGGTAACCTGGCAGTATGCCAGTCACGTGTTTCCTTCGGGTTACATGGCGGCTAGGCACATAAATGGTGTTGTAGCTGAACAATTCATTTTATTTATAACCCGATCCAAGTCAGTGTCCATCCCCATTCGGCAAGAGAAAACTTAGTGACAATGTGGACGGGTCTGCACCTTAAAATATTCAGAAATCCTAAGTTCAAACTGCAAATTATGGCTGTAAATTACGGTTGCTGGACCAAGCTGGCAAAGCAGTGCTTTGAAGAAATCAGCAAAACACTGCTGCTGACTTTCATACACGGCATTTTTGCACTATCTTTGGATTGAATACGCTCCTCTTAATACAGAAAACCGATCCTGTGGATACGGAATCGATCGAAACTTACTCATCAACTGCGTTTTCCTTGTCCAACTTCATGGCTTGCATCTTCTTCTTTATGTGCTCCATTGTGATGGTGGTTGTGAAGCGTTAACTGAGTCGGGTCCTTGGTCAGAAGATTAAAATGGGATATGCAGACGACGAAACAGCCGAATTGAGGGTGACAACACACTGTTGTTGGCAAAAATACCGATTCTGAACACAACAATGGGCTTTATGCCGACTAGTGTGGTTGGGATGCGCGTGTTACGCAGTCACACAAGCGCCGATGCACGCAGGATGGAACCACACATGCCGCGCAAAAATGTGGATCGACCAAGTAACCAATCAGCGCTTGAAGGTATCGGGAAAGACTGGACAGCACCCGGCTGCAGTTCGAAAGAAGATGTTTCACGGGTGTGGTAGTGTATGTGTCTCAACTAGGGACCAATGGAACCGCTGACATAAGTTTTGTACATACCAAAGTTAAATTTTCCATGACAATTGTGAACCGATAATCGACCGAGAAAATCTGTCATGCTATCGCGGCACACGGTAGACACGCATGGGGAGGGGTTGCCTGCCACAAAAAGGTGATATAACTATTCAAGATGTAGACACTATGGTACCATATAATCGATCAGCTCTGTCATTCTCCTTAAACCGGACAGCAATTATCATTCCAAACCATTCTTTCTGATCAGGTGAAACTTTGCACTTCGTAATTTGCAAGGCGAAAGAAAGGCGACCATTTAAAAGTGATTGGGTGTTTGTGGCATGAAGAGATTCTAGAATTTTCCAATCAAGATCTCGTCCTGCAAGTAGAGTATACACTGGAAAGCCGTAGGACTGTTTGGTTCTTTTTGAGAACCTCGAGTAGTGCACGTCTCACGGTCTCCATGGAGCTTAAATCTCGCAGTCTCCCGGACAGTAGCTGAAGAATACATCGTTTCGCCATGAGTGCCTGATCATTAATCAGTAAAACTTTCCCCTGGACATGATATGGCATTACTCATCCCTGTGCCACGGGATGTGTTCACTAAATCACTGAATGGGGACTTCTTAGTCCTTTGAATGTATTCTTCGTTCTGAGTCACCCTTACTTTGTTGATATCACCAGCACGCTAGTTGACACCTGTCAGATTAAACACTTTTACAAACTGAGGCTGTGTTGTAAAGGTAGCACCGGGTTTATTCAGCCTGATATTCTTCAGAAAATTCTAGTGAAAAACCATCAACAGCCCCATTTTGAGCTCGCCTGCGAAGTTCCCACGTATCTGCAAGTTTGTCTTGTGCTCGTATATCAAAGCGCTCAGTAATCAGGCGCTAGCCGATCGCCGTGTCGTCGGCGTGATATTGATGACCTTCTTGTCTATGATATTCTCCAACCGAATTCTACACCAATATCGAATTCTCTTGTGGAAATTATTTCAATTTCCAAGTGGACGTTTCATTCCACATATGCCCAGTTTGTCACTGAATCTGGAAGTAGGATTATTGCGAGATTCGCTGATGTTGTCATCATGTTTATTTTGAACTGTTGTGCTCCTATGCTGGCACAATTATTCTGATGAGTCCATACATAAGAAGGAAGCACTGGACGCGAGTTTGGCTCAGCAGTGCGGGGCTTGAACTCCGGACATCTGACATGCGAGGCGAGCTTGTTTTCACTACTCCATGAGCGCAAGTTGGACGCATCTGATTTTTACATCTGTACAGACGAACGTATTCACGCTTGAGCGATGTGACTGGTATGCCGACTCCTCAAACGATGACTCAGTAAATGTCCCGATCGATTGATTTATCCACCTGTTAGGAACGACAATACCCACAACGTCAATCGAAAACCTGGACTGCCCACTACGGGTTTCGTCCTCATTAGGGCTCGTCAGATGAATTTACCTTGAGTCCTCTGTTAGAACCTGCCTTCTAGCGTTGACCGAACTTAACAAATGGGCAGGTAAAGTGAAGGGCAACCCCCCGGTGAAACCACCAGAAACTCCCTGCAAATTAGACACTGCTAACGGTCAACGAGGGCCATTTGTTTATTGCCCTTGCATCATTATCAGCAGAAAGGGACCCATTCGTAATTGTGCTAATGACTACTACGGGAACAAAAGTCTACACTGATATATCGACCTTACAATAATCTACTCAGTTCTCTTAAACAGAGATTCTGTGTGGTCTCTCTGGCGGTCAATACAGTCACGTGACCGGCTGAAATACAACAGAGACGAGAACGCCTATATAATCCCGGTAACTAACGTGGAAGTGCATAACTGATTACGTTTAGATGTGGCCGTTTCGAGTAGTATGGCAGGCCAGTTACCCGCGAAATCGTGCAAGGTTCCTGTCTTTCTTGTTTGTGATGAACCAGCTGGTTGGTACCAGTGTTAATAAACTTTCCAATCTAACGTGTTCGGGCCAATCTGTCACAGCCTTTATTATGATATAGGGCTAAGTGACGATAACAGCTGTAAAAAGCTCCTTCCCGTATGAAACTCGTTTTTGCAACTTAAATTTCAAGAACTTGGTGAAAATGAGAAACCTTCATTAAGCTGCTCTGCTCTGCCGTGTGCTCACGAAAACAAGACTACTGTTCCCATAACTGTACAACAAATCAAGATATGATGACACATACTGTGGCAACCGTAGTTAGCCTGGCACGTGACATTTTGGGCTGAACAATATGTTTAGACGGATCAAGACAACTTGACTGAATGTGATCACTATAATTCTGAAAAGCCCGACTTGTGGGTCTACCCTTTCATTTCGAAATGCCATCGCAAACGTCCGTGTTGATCCTACGTTCATCTGTGACTAAAACCCAAACTGACATTTGCTATGAACAATATTGATAACTACTGAATCGATCGATTCATATCACTAAATTGATCTTGTAGTAGTTAGAAATCTTCTGCTCCGCTAGCCCATCATCAGTGAACGACTTGAATACATAACCCAGTGTAAAGAAGGGTAAGCTAGAGCGGGCTCGTGTGCGTTGCATGTACCCTGTTTGGCAATAAACCAATGCCAGAAACAGGGATAACTTGTAAGCCTTAGTCAGGCTTTATTATCACATTACCAGATTTCAAGGTTTCCATGACGCAATGATTGCCAGTCGGCTACTAAAATGTCACGTGTTGGTTAATACCAGTATTCTGGCAACTTTATCTGCTTCTTTTGCATCGCTTCTTAGTGGAAGCTTCTCCCGAAGCTGACTCGAACAAACTAGACTAGAGATTCGGAGTTCAAAGTTATCCCCAACGGTGGGCTCTTACGATGGTCTACCTGGTCACACAAGCTAAGGTGCATCAGGTTCAAGTCGAAATCGATGCGTGCCAGGCAGATTTGACCTCGTATATGGAACAGTCAGGAACCAGCCGAGAAGCCAACACCGCTTTTAACGTGGGTATGATATCGTTTGATTGACACTGACCAATATCAATGGTTTTTTATTGACCGCAGATTTTGAACTCACACTGAGTATTGTGATGTGGAAACCCTCGCTTGCTTACCCCCTTGTTTTATCACCGTCACCAATCAAGTTAAATTAGACCATCTCGTTTAGGAAGGCATTCAGACAGGGCGCCAGAGCAGTACCCCAAGTTAAGATTTTTTCACTGCGCGTATTTTCATACTTCCGGAAGATAGAGCGCAACCAGTACAGATCGATCAAAGTGGAGTTTAAAACACACATTTAGTGGTCGCATAGTACGACAGTGATTTGCTGCACTGGAAATAATCATCATTCTTCCGTCTGCCCTTTGATGCTGACCTGTGTGTAACATATGAGAATGGAAAAAAGGAGGGGAAGCCACGGAGTGATGGTGAAAAATTTGAGGTTCATGAGCGTGAATAACCATGGTATGTCATCATCATCATCATCGCCATTGACAGCATGACATCAGTGTTCAACACC